TATATATCATACATGCACTTGCTTATATACCATATTTGTAGTCTTTTTAGAGATTTTAAAGCAGTATGTATGTGACTATATTAAGCATAATTGACTACGTTATAGTCAAACTATGGTAAAAAAGACTATAAATATAAATTATAATTAAATTGTAGTAATTGCAACTTTCTTTTTCTTTCAATCCGACCATAAAAAACATAATGTTTTATCACGTACACCACGTGCACTTACAACACAGGAGATGTCTACCTATAAGTATAACGAGAATAATGATTGAAGTAAACAATAATTATGTGCCGAATTATAATTGTACACTAAAGCTTGAGGGCATAGCGCCCTGTGTGTGCAACATGTAAAATTGTAATTTTATATGAAATATAAAATACATGTGAACGTATAATATAATATTATATGTCAAAAGTTGCAATATAATTATGCATTCATATAAATTCTACCACTATGATGATACTTATTTGTTGCATAAAAATAATTAAATAAGTTTCTGTTTTACTTTATTATATCACATTTCTTATTTTATTTGTTATACAGTCATACATTTATCGTGCATTAAAAATGTACACATTTACGTAAATTTTTATGTAAATGTTCTTGTACATATTGTTAATACGTTTAAAATCAGACAAGCGTTCAAAAGAATTGTGTTTTCAATTGAGGCAAAGATTAGCTATCGTTTCTTCCTTCGATAAGACCTCGAGGAAAGCCGGAAGTTATATCGAAAGATTTATACGTTTCCGAGCTGTGGCTGTAGCTCTTGCTCCGATACTCACGCCCACGAGCGGTAGTAGATTACGTGGCATTTTTGCATCGTATCTTGTGCCTATGCTCTATCGGGATTTATGAGTTATGCAAACAACAAGGAAGTCTCGTCGAAGCTAAGGGTGAGAGAAGTGGCTCCGCCTTCTTCCCTTTCTTGTACGACGTGTACACTTTAATGCGGTTTTATTTGTCTCTTTTCAATTCTGTTGTAACATAATACAATTCAACTTACGTGCACTACAATTTATATTTTATTAATTAATACTATTAATATACTTATGTGGATTAATAAATAAATTAACATCAATTATAATTTTGATATATATACAAGTACTTGTATA